CCCACTTGGAGAGGGCAGATCGAGAGCTGAGGAGGGGGGTCCCCGTCTCCAAGATCCCCGGGGAGCTCCTACATATGGACGCCGATAAGTGGTGCGAGCTCGCCCGGGGCCGCTGGGGTCGCCCGGGTCGCATTATCCTGGGCGAGGGGCGAGTTGCGTGTCAGCTGTGCCGTGGCCAGGCCTCCTTGCGGGGCGCGCGCGGCTTCGCCATGAGCAACGTGGGGGGTAATGAGCCGCTGTCGGCCGCGGCGGCAAAGGGGCGCTCATCTGCCCCGGCGCTGAATTTCACCCCCCGCAAGATTTGCGCTCTGACAGTGGCATCAGCCCAGAAAGTGTACCACATCAGGCAGCATATTCGTTGTCTCGTCGTCTCTGGCATGTGGATGTGCGGGCCTCGTCGGCTGTCGGGGATTTGCCGGGTGGATGTGGCGTTTGCTTCGGACGCTGGAGGTGTTGAGGGAGGAGCTGAAGTGAGTATTGCCCTATGTCCTAAGGTGAGTACCAAGAGTATGCGGCCCCATGTGGCCCGTCTGTGGAAGGCTGACAAGGGCGCCGTGGAGCTCCTCAAGATCGCTCGGAAGTATGCCCCTCCAGGCCTCCAGTTGCCCCCCTACTCGTTGGCCTCCTACTGTGGTTTCTCCAGCAGATCGAGGGCATGTTAGGCTTGCAGGCGGGCTGGGCCCCCCGCGCGCAGTCCTCGCGCTGGATTGGCCTCGGACAGTCGAGCTGCAGGACGTTGGGTGGCAGATGGTAGTCTTCGCACGTACCTCGACATTGCGGGGGCCAATCACATCGCCATCCAGCTCGCGACGTCGGGCTATGCAGCGCAGCTGTCCTTGCTGAAGAAGGGCTGGATCCAGCACTTCCCCGAGTCCACGTTCCTGCATCGAGTTGCCCCAACAGACCCAGGGGCGGTGGATGGGCCCGAGGGGCGCCGTCTGGATCGAGGGCCAGGGCTGGGCGCCGCGTCAGCTGGCCCCGAACGTCCAGCACAAGGGTCACCATCCTCCGCGCGGGACGTCGCCGGAGCCACAAGCCACGAGCAATAGCTGGCAGGTGGTAAGTGGAGCTTCGTCCAGAGCGAGCACGGCAGTTCCGCTGCCGAAGTCACCGGGTCTCGCGTCGGCGCCAGTCTCGCCTGGGGGGCCGATCCAGGTACCGGGAGGGGCCGCGTTGGTGACACCCATGGACGTAGCACGCGGCTACAAGGGGCCTCCCAGCAAGAAGGCCCACAGGGTGTTGGGACTTGCGAGGTTGAGTAGCCTGGGCAAGTGCGTCGCCGTGCTCGGCCACGTCTGGTTTCCATTGCTGGTGATGCTCTTCATTGCCGCGGCCTGCCCAACTTTTGTCTTCCCCATGCTTGGCGCGCGGTGCAGGCGCGGCAGTCGGCTTTGTCGAGGACGTAGCACATGCTGGAGGCACGGTTGCCCTTGCGGCCAAGAACCTGACGCTGTCGGTCAGAAGCGTGGCGCTGTCTCTGGCTCGCAACTTGGTGGGCTTAGTAGACGGAGTGTGGAGTGGAGTGGAGTGGATTTGGTGGATTGCAGGCTGGGCGCGACGGGCGGCAGGTACATTGTCGACTCTTCGATCGGCCACGCGACCCGCGACCCCGATCAGGGCGAGGTCGCCCGCGCACTGCACTCCGCCCCGGCCGGGCTTGCAGAACAATTTTGGTCAGCAGTTCGTGCCGTTTTACCGCGAGCTCCGTCATCCTCGCGACTCGCGGCAAATGGCAATTTCTCAGAGCGGTTCTGCATATGGGACTGGGAGATCATGCTGGTCGAGGAATCCTACTTGGCACTCTGCATATACTACGCCTCGCTTGATTTCACGGTCCGCTGGTCGAACCTTCCGCGGCTGATGTCTGGCGCGGGCCCCGGACATGAGCTGGGGGGAATTTCAACCCGAGTGACCCGAGCAATCCAGGGCGCAGTGGATGCTGACGTGGTGCGACGACCGCTGACCATGGAGGAGATTTCCATGCTTCCAGCGGTCGCGCCACCCTTTGGGCACCGAGTCGGCCGCATGACTTATCGTCAGTGGAACTGGTTTAGTTTCGTGAGCGGGAGTCGGCCCTGAGCTGTGGAGGAGGAGGGGTTTCTCTTTTTCGGCATTCCCTGCTTGCGAGGGGGTCGCATGCGGTTGTTGGCCTCTCTTAAGAACTGCAGCTCATTGCCGGATAATTTGTTTTCTATATTTCAGAATACTGGTGAGTAAGCAGATGTCAGATTGCGCTTCTCCACGTGGTTCTCGCTACGTGGAGGGTTGGCTCTGCAGTGCCCGTGCTTTGACGCGGGATCGAGAGACGCGCGCGTGGCTTTGGGTCAACTCGTTACCTCAAGAAAGGAGTTGCGCATCCGACAGCTCTTTGTTTAGATTCATGCTGCTGCCTTTCGGCTTTCTCAACGCATGTCCATCCGTGGTGCTCTCTGCGCCTCCCCTCGCCGCGCGGGCGGTGGGGGCGCGGGGTGAATGGGGGGCCCCAGGAAGCTAATGTGTCTAGACGCGCTTCGTACAAGAAGGACGAATAAACGTAGTAAATGTTTGTTATTGCATGCGTCCAGGAGTGAACTGTTTTGCACGGCAGCAGCATGGCCATAACTGTTTCGGGCCCGCCCTGCCCTCCCATGTTCCAGACTTCAGAATTCTGGTGAGTAAGCAGATGTCCGATTTGTTTCTCCACGTGGTTCTCACTTCGTGGAGGGTAGGCTTTGCAGCGCCCGTGCTCTGACACGGGATCGAGAGACGCGCGCGTGGCTTTTGGTCAACTCGTTGCCTCAAGAAAGGAGTTACGTTACCGGCAGCTCTTTGTTTAGAGTCATGTTGCTGCCTTTCGACTTGCTCGCCGCATGTCCCTACGTGGCGCTCTCTGATCCCCCCCCCGCCGCGTGGGCGGTGGGTGCGCGGGGTGGGTCAAGCTAGCCAGCTCGAGCGAGTCAATCATGGCATGCCCATTCCCACCCGCCCTCCCACAACATAAGAAACAGTGATGGCACAACTGGTGGCTGCGCGGGCATTTCAGCGTTGCAGGTCCCAGAGCGCTGACTTCCAGGTCCCAGAGCGCCCCAGGAACGCCCCAAGAGAGCCGAGACGCCCCCGAGACGATCCGAGGGGTCTTGAGTCGCCGAAAGATCGCTCCAAGACGCCCAAGATGGCCTCCAGACGGCCGCAGACGCCGCCAAGAAACCGCGGGGAGCCTCAGGAGGCCCTCCGAGAGCCTGGACAAGCAAAAACCTCCCAGGCATTCGTCACCCCAGGGCCTCCTGGAACGCCCCGGCGCCCAATGAATTGGCGAACTAAAAACGTGCGCCGAGCCAAAGCGGGAACGCATTTTTGAGAAAATGTCGCTCGGCGCCCAAGCGGGAAGGTCATTTCATTCACTTCGAACAGGGGGGGGGGGTGCCGCGCCCAATTCTTGCCATGCACTTCTGCGGGGTGGGCGACAGAACAGCGATGTGGGCAGGGAAAATCAGCATGGCATTGTTTCTGACAAGTAAGGTGGCCAGTCCCGCCTTGGGGTTGCCCCAAAAGTCCGCGCGCGATGTGAGCCGCGCCCCATTCCTGCCACGCATTTCGCATCGTCGACGACAAGACAGGCCATGATGAAAGGAAAAACGGCAACTCTGTATTGTTTTTTACAGTCAGGATGGGAGGGCCCGCGACCAGCATGGACGTCCGCGCGCGATGTGCGCCGCGTCCCATTCCTGCCACATATTTCGCACCGTCGGCGACAAGGCAGGCCATGCTGACAGGAAAAAACGGAAACTTTGTTTGATATTTTGCAGTCAGGATGGGCGGGCCCCGATTGACAGCCGCGCGCGATGTGCGCCGCGTCCCGTATGTGCGCCGCGTCCCGTTGCTGCCACATATTTCGCACCGTCGGCGACCAGGCAGGGCATGCTGACAGAAAAAAACAAAGACTTCGTATTGATGTTTTACAGTCAGGATGGGCGGGCCCAGATTTACTGCCGCGCGCGATGCGCGCCGCGTCCCATTCCTGCCACGCTTTTCGCATCGTCGACGACCAGAAAAACGATGTTGAGAAGAAAAACGGCTACTTTGTATTGATTTTTTACAGTCCGGATGGGAGGTCCCGGATTGGGCCGCTATCGGCCGGAATGCGAGGTAGGTGGGGGTATATTCCAATAAAGAACAAGGATGGGGGGCTTCTGGAAGTTAAAGTGTCCAGACGCGCCTCGTACTAGAGGCCCTGGAGGTTTATTTGGGTGCTTTTTGGGGGCCTCATGGAGCTTCCTGGGGGCCCCTTGGGGCTGAAGGCTGGACTGTTCGGTTACTGGTCCCCTTCTTGGGCCCCTCTTGGGGCCGTTTTGGCGTTTTCTTGGGCCGTCTTGGGCGCCTCTTGGGCTTGCTTTGGGCCATCATGGGCCGTCTTGGGGTCCTCTTGGAGGGTGGTGATGGTAATGATGATCATGCTGGTGAGGATGATTACGCTGACGATGATGGTGCTATGGGTGATGAGGCTGATGATCATGATGACGATGACGGTGGTCATGATGCTGCTGCTGCTGATGATGGCGATGCTGATGTTGTTGCTGTTCCTGCTGGTGATGATGATGATGATGATGATGATGATGATGATGATGATGATGATGATGATGATGATGATGATGATGATGTTGGCGACGTGGGTGATTGAGAATCTGGGAATCATAATTGAGATGATGAAGATGACTAGGTCTATGGTGACGATGGTGAGGATAGTGGTGGTGATTGCGGTGGTGGTTGTGGTGGTAGTGTTGGTGTTGGTTGTGGTTGGTGGGTGGCTGGGTGGGTGGGTTGGTGGATGAATGGATGTATGGTGAGAGTTAGCGAACGATGGTCGTGAATGTGAGGAGGAGGAGGAGAAGGAGGAAAAAAGGTCGAGGAGGAGGAGGAGGAGATCCATCGCCTTCTTCGCTTTGCTCCTCATCCCTCCTTCCTCCTGCTTGTCCTCCTCTCTCCATCCTCCCTTCTCGCCCCCTCCTCCTCGCCGTTGTGAGGCCACGTGCTGCGGGCTGCCGAAGGTCACTTCGAATGCCTCCGTCAGCACCATGGTGCCCGAGGACGCCGATGCAGCGCGCGGGCTGGCCGGGTTCCCGCTGCGGACACCTGGGAGCACCCCAAAGCCACGTGTCGTCGTTGTCGTCGTCGTCGGCGGCGGCGGCGGCGTCAGCGGCGGCGTCGTCGTCGGCGTCGGCGTCGGCGTCGGCGTCGTCGTCGTCGTCGTCGTCGTCGTGTTTTTCGTCGTTGTCGTCGTAGGCGTCGGCGTCGGCTTCGGCGACGGCGTCGTCGTCGTCGTCGGCGTCGGCGTTCGCGTCGGTGTCGGCGTCGGCGTCAGCGCCGTCGTCGGCGTCGTCGTCGGCTGCGTCGTCGTCGTCGTCGTCGTCCTCTACCTCCTCCTTTTCTTCGCCCTCCTTCTCTTCAAAGGGGTTCAGGGCTCGAGGTTTTCAAGTGCTTCAGCTTGTGCATGGTTGCGTTCCAGCTTCAGGATGCTGTCCAGCAGCTGCGTCTTGCCGAGAGTTTTCTAGGGGTGCCCGAATCGTCCCAAAGGACCGCCAGAGGCCCGAGTCATGACCCGAAATCTGGACGACGAAGATTATGCTTGGGTTGAACCGGGGATTGGGAAAGAGGGGGGGGAGTACAACATCTGTTGCGATGGAGCTGGTTTCGGCCCCGCCGCCGGGCTTCCTCGACGCAGGGGGCGCCTCCGGGACCTGGTGGCGCCCGGAGAGCCAGCTGCGCGAGCTGGTTGGAGGGCGCGTAATGGGGGGGCGACCCACATAGGGGAGCAGCGAGGGCAGCGGAAAAGGGGCCTTGTAGGGCCTCTGCAGGAGCCCTTTCGGGCCTCCCAAGGGGGCCCTCCTTAGAGCCCGAAAAGGGCACCTCTCTCCCTCCCCATGTATCACCCTCCCAATAATTCGCGCCCAAAGATGGTTCGCCGATCCCTCTTTGCGGCTTTTATCGGGCCTCTCGCCCGGCGCCCAGAAAGCCAGCGGCGTGAGCTGGTTTGCTGATCCCCCTTTTTGCGGCCCCCATCGAGCCTTTGCTGTCCAGCCCGATCTTACAACGAGCCAGGATGGACCTCGGGAGGGGACCGGGTCGCCTGGCTTTGCTCGGGCGTGTTTTTTTTCCTCGGCGAGGGCCATCGAGGAGCATATTGGATCATCGTACGAAAGAAATACATGCACGAAGCCGAAAAATGCACGGGGAACGGACGTCCGAGCGATGGCGAGGTCGTCGTCGTCGTCGTCGTCGTCGTCGTCGTCGTCGTCGTCGTCGTCGTCGTCGTGGTCGTCGTCGTGGTCGTCGTCGTCGTCGTGGTCGTCGTCGTCGTCTTCGTCGTCGTCATCCTCTTCATCATCGTCGTCGGTCTCGTCGTCGTAGGAGTGTGAGGAGGAGGTTGTCTTCTCCTGGAAGTCCCTTGAAGGTTCGAAGGTGTCGGGAGGTTTCGAGGGTCAGGGGGCGCATTCTGAGCGCACGCATCGACGGGAGGAACCAGGTGTTGGATGATGACTATAACCAGGAGGAGGAGGAGGAGGAGGAGGAGGAGGAGGAGGAGGAGGAGGAGGAGGAGGAGGAGGAGAATGACTTCCTCCTTTTTTGGGGCTTCGAGCCCCCTCTCGTCGCCACGGCTGGATTCGCTCCGACATTTGGTCAGGACACGCTCCAGGACGGTTTCGGGGAGAGGAGGAGGGAGACGAGGATGCTTCCGTGTTCTGCACCTCTCGGGCCTCCCTGGGCGCCCTCGTCGCCACGGCTGGACAGGCCTCGAGACCCTGGTCAGAAGGCGGTCCGGGACACGGCCGGGGTAGAATTTTGCATTAGGCCAGACCTTGTGGTTCAGATTTCAAACTCTTTTCGACGGCGACGCGTTTCGAAGCCTGGGTCTTCTTCTGGGCCAGAAGTGATGCGGCATTCCCGCGCGCGCGTGCGGTGCATGGCTCGTCGAGCACGGGCAAATCCCCAGAGGCGGTAGTCCTGGACGAGTCGCTGACTTGACTGTATACTTTTCAATGATATGGGCACGTCTATAACATGCAGTGGTCGGGACAAAGTGTGGCCGGGTGGGTAGCCAGGTTTTCCCACAACCACCCATCTCCTCTGACGTCATTTTGGTATGACGTTGCCCCCCGCAGATCTGTACGCATTCCCCTGGGCCGTTTTATCATCGTGAGATCGTGAGTCGTTTTGCTGAGAGTGTCCTGGGGCTCAGCAAGAGCCCCCCAGAAGCCGAACACCGTCACGAACCTTCCGTTGTGACTTTTGCCCCGGCGACGCGAGGGGGCTTTGGCACCTCAAGTCCCCGCGTCGTGACGAACAGCCAAATACAAAAACACGCTGGGCGTTAAGCGCCTGGGGGGGCCTCCTGCTGCTGCTCCTCCTCCTCCTCCTTCTCCTTGCTCGTCGCACTCCACCCTTTTTCCTTATCGAGAGCTCCCCCCTGTCGCACCCCCAGACGTGTCGGTTGGGCAGGCCGGGCGTTTCGCCAGGGATGCCCTCGTCCTTGAAGACCACAGAGCTTGAAATTTGAGATGGGGGGGTCAAGATGGGGCTCTCGCCTGGTCGCCGCGCACACTCGTCTGAAAAGTGGGTGGAGCCTCGTGACGGTGAGGCGTGTACCCGCCGATGTGTAGACAGCTCACGCTCGTCGCGCCTCCTCCTCCTTCTCCTCCTCCTCCTCCTCCGCGTCCTCCTACGCGTCCTCCTCCTCTTCCTCCTCCTCTCCGCCCTTTCCCCCCTCATCCTCCATCCCTCCTTTCTGGCCTCCTCCTCGGGCCGTGCATCTCGAACCTCCCACTTCGATGGCGAACCTCGAACTCTCGGACGTCTCGGCGCTCCAGGAGCGTGGACGCGGTCCCTGGGCCCCCTCCTCTGGTGGCTGTCCTGGCGGGCTGTTTCGTTCCAGGTGGATCTTGGCTGGCCCTGGTGCCCGAAACGGCCCCCCTGAAGGCCGAAACCGGGGGAGCATGCAGGGTGCTCTGTGTATTATCTATAGTCACAGAGTATACACAAGGTAATACGCATGCAGGTGAGCACCCACGCATGTAGTGTTATGTGAAGATCAAAGGTGTATACAAGCAGCTACACACATATACGTACACATGCTTGTACAGCCTATATGTACAGCTAGACAGGTAATTCGCCACCCATATCGATCGACACGCCAGTCATACACATCGATATGTGGGTGTGTATATATGCACATGCTTCTATGCAAACATGCATACCACACATATAACTATACATACAGATATGCGTATATGCCTGTGGGTATGCCTATATGTGTGTATGGATGTATGCCTCTCTCTATATATATGAGTATAGGCATGCACATATATATATACATACATGCATATGCACATTTATATGTATATGTTTATATACATGTATGTGTATACATATATATATATATATGTGTATACTGGTGTATATCTGTATATATATGTATATATATATAGAAGAGCGTCTCTTGGGTTTGTTTGGCGTTGTCCTAATTCTTTTTTCGCGAGGTAAACTGGACTGGACTGGACTGGACTGAAGTAAACCAAACTGTACTGAACAAAATGAACTGAACTGAGCTGAGCTGACTGGTTGCACTCGTTACGCGACGGCTTTATTCTCGGCGGCAGTGGGCGCAACCTAAGGCGTACCCGATAGGAGACATTTTTATGTTCGGCCGCCGCGGGCGCAACTTATGGTGCAACCGATAGGAAACGGTTTTATGCTCGGCCGCCGAGGGCGCAGCCGATGGAGCAACCGGACGGAGACTTTTTATTGGCGGCCGAGGGCGCAGCTTATGGCGCAACCGATTGGAGTCGGTTTCATTCTCGGCCCCCGAGGGCGCAGCCTTTCGCGCAACCGAACGGAGCCGGTTTTATTCTCGGCTGCCGAGGGCGCAACCTATGGCGCAACCGATTGGATTCGGTATCTCGGAAAACTCACCGGACACCTGTGTCTGCTGACCGTACTCGCCTGTGTGCTGTTGCCATGCCAGAGTATGGAAAGTGCTGTTGCGGTGAGTTCAATACCAAGGGCCGTCGGACATGCAACAACTGTGGAGAAGCGAAGCCGCCACCTCGTCCATGGAACGGCGGGCCGAAAGGAGCCGATTTCTGGATGCAGCGCAAGGGGCCTGCTCTCAAGCAGGGTGGATGGAAGCCATGGACCAAGCAAAGAGGAGCCCCGCAGGCACAACGGCCGCAGCCAGCCGCAGGCGCTACCCTCACACCCAGCGACGTCAAGGAGTGGTCCGAGCCCCCCGCAGACATCTACGAGAAAACAAAGAACGCCGCGTCTCACTCTTCCAGGCAGAAGGTTGAATGCGCCAGGCGGGCTGCTGCTGCTGGGCTATTTGTCGCTGCTGGTCGCGAAGCTCCTCAAGCTGTCGACAAAGCCGCCAGGGCCCTCCAGCATGCAAAGGACCGTTTGGCAATCAATAAGGACAAGGCTCTCAGGCTGCTGGAGGCGGTATCAACCTCGGAGGCCGAAGTGGCTAAGTTGGAGAAGGAGTTCGAGTCGGCGAAGCAGGACGCGGCGAAGCTGTACGGCGCATGCAAACCTGCAGCTGGCGCGTTCACGGCGCAGCAGCTCAAGGCCAAGCTCGGAGAGATCCCCACGGAGGGCATCACGCTCGCCGGCTTCCTCAAGTCCCTCCAGGCAGCGGTCGACGAGCTTGACAACGCCAGCAGGCCGACCGAGCCGCAGCAGCACGTGTCGCCTGCAGCCCAAGAGCCAGCACCCCCTGAAGGAGCGGCAGCTGGAGGCGGAGCGACCGCTGCTGAGGGCGGCCCAGCGCAAGGGACCACGCCAGACGAAGCTTTCGACGCTTTCATGGCTGGCGATGATCCTGGCGGCCTGCTGGGTTCCTGCCAGGATGAGGGAGAGCGCAAGCGGCTTGCCGAGGCCATGGAGACCATCCGCACAGCCAAGCGCTCCAAGACGGCAGGCGGGTAGCTCTGCCAAGAGGCGCTGGTGGACGGCGCTCACCATCAATGCCAACGCCTACAGCAGGTTCGAGGCGCTGCTCGGCGAGAACCAGGTGCGCAACGCAGACATGATTGCGGTGCAGGAGACTCACCTCTCCGACTTTCGGTGTGCGGAGGT